ATCTCTGTAGCTTGTTTAGAAGGATATGGTGGTCTAGCGTATCGAAGGCCTTCTTCAGGTCAATGAAGACCGCCCCAGTGAGAAGACCATTATCCATATTTCTATGGATTTCATCCACAAAAAAGGTGACAGCTGTTTCAGTGGAGAAATTCTTCCGGAAGCCAGATTGACGAGACGACAAGAGATTGTTTGCGTTAAATAACTAAACAATTGATGATATACGACTTTCTCGGTGATTTTAATTTGGAAATTACTGGGAGAATAGAGATGGGACGATACTTACCATTTCTACTCTGTTACCGGACTTGAACAAGGGAACAACTCTTGAAGTCTTCCAGTCGTTCGGCACTACTCCAGATGAAAAGGAAAGGTTAATTATGTGAGTCAGACACTCCGAAATAACCGGGGCTCCGTCTTTAAGCAGGGACGTAGCTTTGTTCACTTTTAGCTATCTCAACAAATTGTAAACAACATTTGGTCTTACTAAACTTATCTCGAAGTTTTCGTTTGTAAAAGTAGCTTCAGTAGTCTGCAAAGGTGATTGCTGTCGTTGGCAAGATATCTTGGACGATCTTTGAGATAATTTTTCATTGATGGTCTTGACAATTGAGGTGAAAAAGTGGTTAAAACTTTCAGCTATGGCTTTCTTGTCTGTCTTGAGATCACCATCGACTTTGATTGGAGATATAGATTGTTTTAATTTCTTGTCGTTAGGAAGCACTCTCTTCAAAGCTCTCCAGAAAGATTTTGAGTCATCAATGTTTTCTTGAATAAGGTTCCGATTGTAATTGGCTTTAGCGGAGCGCACTTCGTTGTTCACTGCGTTTCTTGATCTTCTAAAGGCACTCCAATCTACCTCTTTATTTGTCCGTCGCGCCTTCTTCAGAAGACAATCTCTTTGTTGCATTGATTTCTTAAATTCATGTGTTAACCAAGGTAGTTAACACCCTTGACTTTCTTTTTTATTAAAGGGGCGTGCCGATCACACTGCTCTTTAAAAATGTCATTAAAGAGATCCAAGGCATTGTTTACGCCGAAGGCGTGTTTGACAGGGCCCCAGTTGATTTGGCTCAAGCTCTCACAAAATTCCTCACGCGAGTAATTTTTATAGTCTCGGCATTCGATTATTTTGGGTATATATTTCAAAGCATTTATTTTCCTAACGCACAAAACAATGTCATGGTCACTTAAACTAAGAGGAACCACTGCCTGCTTGACAATATTGCGCGGATTATTTGTCACAAACAAGTAGACGAGTGTAGCACTAAGTTTAGTTATCCTTGTTGGACAGTCAACCAGTTGCAAGAAATTATGAAGGCGAAAAATGCCTTTTAGGGCCTTGAAATCTGCTCCTTGCGTCGGTGCTTTAAGGTCGTAATTAAAATCACCAGTCATCAGCGTTTCTTTATCCTCTCCCAACACTCTTTCCAAGCCCAGTTTAAAGATTTTCAAAAACTGAGAGTCATCCGGCGGGCGATATCAGGTTCCCAAAAGAATTCCTTTTGAATTTGGAAACATCAACTCCAGCCAAAGGTTCTCTAATGCTGTAGCTTCCAAATTACGTCTTCGCACAGCCGGTATTTTGTCGGAGATATAGATTGCAACGTCACCACCTTTGCGAACCGAGGAGCGATCGCGCCTAAACAAATTGAAACCGGGGATCGCAACCCATTTGTTTCTAGAAAATAGATCTCCTTCAATTAAAACTAATTTCTAATACTTAGGCCTCTCTCTGGAGTTCACCTCACTTCCAAGTGCTTGTTTTTGTTTGAATACAAGATGGTGGATCTCACCTTATTTCCTTTTTTCAAGAAGTCATTTTATTGGTTTTATACTATACACCCTAACATCTGTGTGCATATTCTCTATAATGTCCTATGTTCATTTCCTGTCGCACTGACAAGGAGAATTTGTGTAACAATCTAAAACTTCTTTAGTTGGTGATCATTTCCCTTTTTTCTCAAGACCTTAGTGTTTGATTCAGGGGTGATATTGTAAGGAGAAATTAGATGCTGGTCAATCTCAGGAGTCAAGGGCTTTAAATTAAAAGCACGATACTAAGTTAGTTGTCATGGGGCCCATTTCTCTAAAGTCCTGGTAACTTAACGGGCTCAAAGCCATGTTTTAAAATCAAAATTGAAAGGATAAGAAAGCAGGTTCTGGCACCCAAACCTGTCCTTTTTGTTTCTTTAGCTGATAGTTTTATTTTATTATTTTCAAAACTTTTGATAATCCCATCTTGAATGAAAACAAACAGCTCTATGGGCCAGTTAAGTTACTGGGACTATCGAGAAATGGGCCCAAGGACAGTATTCTTAGCATGGTTCTTAGCATAGCCATACACTCACGGGATTCAATATTTCCAAAGCAGCTGTCTCATCTTGATGGCTTATTTTGTTTATCTTCTGTTTTTTTTTGTTTTTTTTTAACAGTGGAGTTTGATTGTCGTCATGACATTATTGTCTTTTTTATAACATCATTCCTAGTTTCCTTTGCAACTAAAGTTTGTCTTGTCACGCAATGCAATTCTGATAGACTGTGCTGTGTGTCAAGACTAGAAATTGATAGATCATGCCACCAGTCTGTCTAATTTTGTATCCATAGAATCTTCAAAATCAATAATTCCTTAATTTGCAGTTAAGGGAATGATTTCTCCAGATTCTAAAACCTATCTGCAATCAGCATACATTGACCCAATTGCAAAGGTAAATTAGTCCTTGTTCTTACTGGTGCCAGTATACTTGAGCATGTACACACTTACANTAACCCGCTTGAACGACGGAAACAGGGTAACCACGTTTATCGAAGAACTGGCACATTGACTCTGATTTGTGGTGGAAATCAGAGTCATCACTACATAAACGACGAAGTCTTAGAAACTGAGAAAAAGGAATGGAATTCTTAACGTGAGATGGATGCGAAGACGAATATAACAAGTAATTATGCGAGTCTGTAGGTTTGTAATACACACTAGTGCATAAACCGTTACCTTCAATTGAAACTTTGACGTCTAAAAAGGATAAAGAATTGTCAGAAATTTCCCAAGTATATTTCAGAGCCGGGTGAAAAGAATTGACTGCGGTTATGAATTTAGTGAGCTCCTCTCTGGTAGAGGAGGTAGCGCCGATACAGTCGTCGATGTAGCGACCGTAGAGTTCAGGTTTGGACCCGTTGTATTGGCTATTTTCAGCCAATACCGACGCAGCCCGAAACAGTTTCTTTCGAAACTATCAGCCTTTACTCTTTTGGAAAACACGTTTTCGATGGCGATAAGCTCCATGTCGTAAGCAGAGTGGTTGTGAGGAAATGAAGTGTTCTGCGACTGCAGTGGGTTTAGATGTAGAGTTAGGTTTATTAATGGTACGGCGGTGTTCATTAAAACGGTCTTTTAAACGTCGTTTAGTTTCACCTATGTATTGTAAGTTACAGCGGTTACAAATCAAGCAGATAAGGTTTTTAGAGTCACAAGTCAAGTGAGATTTAAAAGCACGTGTTTCGCCGGTGGAAAAAAAGTTATAGTTAGAAAGTCCGTCAGAGATGTAGGGACAAGTAGCGCAGTTACTACCACAACGGAAAGAGCCGGGGGGAAGTTGAGGATGGGAAGTGGTAGAATTGGAGGGGAGTTTGGCTGTGACTAATGTGTCGCGAAGGTTGTGGGAGCGTCTGAAGGCAATAACTGGCTGCTGAGGAAAAGTTTTTTGCAGCGGTTAGAAGACAGCAGCAAATGCCAGTGTTTTTTGATAATGTTGGAGATGCGAGGAAGCGACAGATTAAGAGTAGTTATAAATCGAATACGGTTAGGTTTTTTTACGTCTTTGGTTTGTAAGGTGAGTGTGCGGGGGATGTCAGCGGCGTGTTGTATTTGTTTGGTGACGAATTTATGGCTGTAACCTCGTTTGAGAAGGT